ATAATGCTGCTCTCACTCTTAAAATTCTCCCATGATTCCACTTTTTTTAGAATTAAAGCCAAAACTGTTCGCCTGAAAGAAAAGACCTGTGAACCCTTGCCGGTCTCTCCCTATTCCACTCAGCCGCCACAGACTCTGGACACACAGACACGGGGCGGCCAGGGAGAGCGCTGGTCTTCCCCCGTCTGGGCTGTCGCCCTCGCCCAGAACCTGTGCCCCAGCAAGTCCCTTGCTGATTCCTGCTCATTCCGCAAAACCCAAACCATCCCAGGGAAGCCATTTGCACTATCCCAGATGATAGCCACTTGCCACTGGGAAGGCTTGAGCCCTCGAAGTGTGGCTAGTGTGCCCTGAGGTTGAATTTTTTTTTTTCATTCTTAACAAACGTTTATTTTCCTCCACATGTATTATGTTTTTCTAGAATGATGTGAAAAGTCTTCGTTTCCCTTTTCCAAAATGTTGAGATTCAAAAAGCCAGGTCTTAGCCATATACTAATCTTCATCTCTTCAATGTCTTGTATGTTGATTTAGTTTCATATGTAAGTATTCATACTAGTTTTCCTCAGGGATTTATACATCGATTATAGATAGATAGATAGACTCCTACACAGATATATACACACTTGTTATCCTCGTCTTACCACTTGACAATACAACTTTAAGTGTTTTACATAGCTGTTCCTTGGTCAAGGTCATTTGCAAGAGCAAGTCGGTTTCTGAAGAAATCTTGTTTGGTGGGTGAAGGATCCATTGAGGGATTCTCATTAGTTTTTTCCCTGTATTCTGATCCACTGGACTTCTTCTTAAAGAGCTTGCAGAAGGAGCTGCGAAAGCCCCCTTTCTGGTCTTGCCTGGGATTCTGATCGCTGAAAGATGTTTGTTCACTTTCTCTTTCTTCCTTGGGACAGAATCTCGTGTCTTCTAAATGCATCTCTTCCAAATGGGTCTGCTTTTCTCTTTGGGACCTCTGCTTGGGGAAGAAGGTCCAGGGCACGCCGCGGGCGGCGGCCAGGCCCCCGAGGTTGAATTTGAACGAAACCTTAATTTTAATAGCCAGATCTGGCTAGTGCCTGGCATATCCGAAAGCGCAGTTCAAGAGAGGTGGTCCTCAAATTTCACTGGCATCAACATTGCCAGAAGGATGTTAAAATACAGATTGTAGCCGGACTCGGTGGCTTAGCCTGTAATCCCGCGCCTTGGGAGGCTGAGGTGAGTGGATTGCCTGAGCCCGTGGGTTCGAGACCCACCTGGGCAACTTGGTGAGACCTCATCTCTACAATAAATCAAAAAAATTAGCCGGACATGGTAGTGCGCACCTGTAGTTCCAGCTACTTGGAAGGCTGAGGCGGGAGGATCGCCGGAGCCCAGCAGGTCGAGGCTGCGGTGGCCGGGAGCAGCCACTGCACTCCAGTCTGGGTGACAGCGTGAGACTCCGACTCAAAAAAACATACAGATTGTAGGGACCTGTCTGTGTTGCTGACAAGCTCCCAGGTGGTGCTAGTGATGCTGGCGGAGACCACATTTGGAGAACCACTGGTCTAGAGTAGAAAGTTCTAGACTCGTATGACCTAGACATGAGTGTCGTACTTTGGTGATTCTCAATGTGTGGTCCCTGGACCAGCCATATCAGCATCACCTAAGAGCATCTTAGAAAGCCACCATCACCCACCCAAACTGCATTTTGGCTGGATCCCCCGGGGACTATCTGGCATTAAAATCTAAGAGATGGCCAAGTGTGGTGGTTCACGCCTGTCATTTCAGCACTTTGGGATGCTGAGACGGGAAGATCACTTGAGCCCAGGAGTTAGACACCAGCCTGGGCAACATAACACAACTTAGGCTCTACCAAAAAAAAAAGTCAAACAATTGGCTGGGCATAGTGGCGCATGCCCCCAGTCCCAGTTACTCGGAGATTGAGGCTAAAGGACTGCCTGAGCCCAGGAGGTTGAAGCTGCAGTGAGCCATGATTGTGCTACTGCACTCCAGCCTGGGCGACAGAGTGAGACCCCAACTCAAAAATATACACATACATACATACACAAAATCCAAGAACCACTGTTCTAAACGCTCCTGCCTTGACATCAGGGGCTGTGTTGATCTTGGCGTCCCCATCACTGAGGACACAGTAGATTCTCAACATTAGGAGGAATAGGAAAGAGTAGTTGCTTAAATGCCTGCAGAGATGGAGGTTGCCTGGCTAGTAAATGCATTTTTCAACAGGCAAAGTACTTCCCTTGAAGAATGAGCCCCAGTCCACAACCTTACTCCGACTCACAGTTGTGAAACTGCCCCATAGGGAAGTAACCGCGAGGCAGGTCAGTCTCTTCGGTAAATGACAGGTACCAACGGAGACGTCACTTACTTGGAGGTCCTCACCCTCACGTCCATGGTCTCCACGCCTCTGGACGTCGAACCTTGAGGGTTCCCATTCCAGGCTCTTCCAGGTTATCTAACTGAACACTGAAGACACAGCCTGGCCCAGAAGTGTGCCAGGTACCCAGAGGATAAATTATAACCAGCGAATGCAGCAGACCACACCCAGTGCACACTGCTACTTCTCCAGGTTCTTGTGGCTTGCAGGCATCAGACATGGCTCGCCAGCCTCCGGTCCTCCCTGGCCTCTTCTCCTGACCCACCTCTCCAGGAATAGGACTCAGTCACAGCATTGTGAGCTGGAGGGAGCCAAAGACATCAATCGAGAGAGACAGAGAAAGAGAAAGAGAGAGAGAGAGAGAAACACCAATGCCCCCAGAGATAAAATAGTCTGGACTGAGCATGTTGAGGGGAGGGGGTACTGGTTCTCCTGACCCCTGACTCAAATTTCCAGACACAAGATCTGGCCACAGTCCAGCAGCCCTTTGCTCCTAAAGTTCTCAAGATACCTGATCCAAGGGACACCAGGTCAAAGTTGAATAACAGGAATGAATGACCCACACCACCTTCTCAGCACCAGACTGGAGGTGCACAAACTCTTCAGTTTCTTGGTAATGACAAGCATCCTGCCAGACTAGTACTAAAAGGGAGCATTAGTGGCGACCACCCAGAAACCACTGGTGACTATAGTTCTGGAGCGAACTGGAGAGATTCACAATTTCTCCCCAGACGTTACTCATTGGGATAATCTTGTAAGGCTCGCTTCTGAACCAAGTGGCTACAAATACCTTCTAAACACTTAATTTTAATTTAATTTACTTATTCATTCATTCGTTCATTCATTCGAGTCAGGGTCTCACTCTGTTGCCAGGTTGGAGTGCAGTGACACAATCATGGCTCACTGCAGCCTGGATCTCCTGGGCTCAGGAGACCTTTCCACCTCAGTCTCCTGAGTAGCTGGGACTACAGGTATACACCACCACGTCCAGCTAACTTTTCTGTTTTTTTTTGTAGAGACAAGGTCTCTCTATGTTGGCTAGGCTGGTTTGAACTGCTAGGTTCAAGCAATCTTCTACCTCGCCCTCCCAAAATGCTGGGATTACAGGTGTGAGTCGCCATGCCCAGTCTTTGTTTTTCTGTGATACAAATGATACCGGTTTATTCTGGGGGAAAATCACACTTAAATCCCTCCTCCCCTACCCAGAGGTAATTACTGCTAATATGTAGTCACCTTTGGTTGATTCTTTCAAGATTTTTCTGAAAATGTATATGCATATTTTTATATAATAAAATCATGTTTTATATATGGCTTTGTATCTGTCCTTATTCTTTGAAAAACAGTTCCTGTAAGTGTTTTCGAGCCAATAAGCATGCATCCTATTGGTGATTCTTTGGTATTCCTTTAAATGGATGCATCCTAACTTCTCTAAGCACTCCCCTCTTGCTAGACACTTGGATTACATCCAACTAATTTTGTTAAAGTTACCGCAATGAGCATCCTTTCCAAACATCATTTTGCATTTGGTTAACCATTTCCTTAAGACAAATTCTCATAGGAGGAATTGATGGCTCAGAAGATCTTTAAGCCTTTGGCCCGTGTGTCAAGCTGTCCCCAGCACAGCTGCTGTCTCAGAACGGGGGGTCCTTGCGGGGACACTCTCCCAGAGCAGATGAGAGCTGAGCTGGAAGCTGAGGAGGTCAAATGGAGACGGAGGCTGGGTGTGGTGGCTCACACCTGTAAAGCCAGCACTTTGGGAGGCCAAGGTGGGAGGATGGCTTGAGCCCAGGAGTTCGAGGCCCACCCAAGCAAGATAGCAAGAGTTTACTTCTACCAAAAAAAAAAAAATTAGCCAGGCATGGTGGTGCACCCATGGTCCCAGTTACTTGGGAGGCTGAGGCCGGAGGATCACCTGAGCCCAGGAGGTTGAGGCTGCAGTGAGCCCTAATCATGCCACGGCACTCCAGCCTGGGCAACAGAGTGACGCTCTGACTCAAAAAAAGAAGTAAATAGAGACAGAGACCACTGTGAAAGGCAGCCCGGTGCAGAGAGGAGGGCACCCACTTGCAGTTCAGGGTCGAGCCTGGCTTCCTCCTCACACACTGTGCCTTTGGTCAAGTCACTTAACCTCTCTGAGCATCTCTCGTTCTTCGTCTGGAAATGGAGCCGCTGCCCCCTACCTTTCACTACCGTACGAGTCAGAGAAAGCCTTGCGTAGATGTGCACTAAGTATTCTTGCACGGCTACATGAATTAATGGGCTGGAGGGAAGGAGGGAGGACTTTAAGAGGAAAAGGTGGAAGGACAAGGACGAGGGTCACGACAAGGCGCCCTTGTTGGGGGCTTTGCCGACCGGCTTGCTGCGGAGCGGCCGCCTGGCTCCGGGGAGCCCGAGGAGGACAGGAGGGAACGGGGCCCCCTTCCTCCTCGCTCTCCAGAGCTGAGCAGACACTTTCTCTCCACCCCAACTTGCTGCTTCTCTGGATGCCAGTGGCTGGTGAGCAGCTGTGTCCCTACCTCACAGCGACGGCCCGAGGCCCACAGACATTCTGGCCTCCCCCCAGGCGGAACCCCGAGGCCCAGGCCGGGCTCAGCCTCCTCAGGGGATCCCCGCCCAGGTGGGCTCCTACCTCGACGAGTTTGCCACGATCCAGCGAAGGGCCCCACGCTGCCTGCCAGCTCGCACTTCTGAGCCCAGGGACCGTTGTCGCCTAGAAACCGAAGGAGGCATGGCGGCCAGCGGCGCTGGGGCCGCTGGGCCGACTTTCCCGCTCTGGTTCCACCTCCCTGCACACAGTGGGGGCTGGACAGAAAAAGGACACGCAGAAACAAACACAGCCCCCGCCCTTGAAGAATGACCCTTGATATGAGGCCTGTCTCCACCGGGCTTTTGGAGGGCGGGGCTTTCCCTGCCCGGCCCTGGCCGCCTCGCGAGCCTCGTGCCTTCCGTTCCTCGGCTCCTTTACATAATGTTGGCACTCCCATGGCCACTGGCCAGCAGCTGTGAGCTGAGCGCCCATCAAGCACCCAGCATTCATGTGCATCATCGCATAATTCCCCAGTACTCCACTGTGGGCTTCAGTTTGCAGATGAGAAACGGAGACCTCGAGGGGGTGAGGCACGTCTCCCAAGAGTAGAGCACAGATGCAAGCCCGGGTCCCTACCTGACCTGGAAGCAGGGCTCTGAACCACCGCCCTCGCTCCAGACAGGGACCCGGGACACACCGTGCACGTGTGGGTCCTTCAAAGGGGTCACTAGTGCAGCCGACTGAGGCCACTCGGCCAAAGGACGGGACCCGGGGACCGGGACAACAGTCTCTGGGGCCAGGGAGGATGGGGAAGACAAGCCTCAAGCCTGCCCGGGGCCGACGTGGGTTCACAACGTCAAAGCCATCTGCCGGTGACAAAGAACAAGGCCCGAGAGCCCGAATCAGTGCGCCGGGGGCCAGCGCGGGGCCTGCTCCACCTGTGCACCCCTTTCCAGAGACTCGGCCGGGAGGCTATGGGGGTTCACATTCCCAGCGAGTCTCCCGCCCTGCTCAAGGGGACCCCGGGGCCGGAGTCTGCCCTTCGGGGGTGTGCACGTGACCTTCGGCATGCGATGAGACCCGCTGGGCGCGACTGCTTTACCTGTAAACCAGAGGAGCGTGTTCTCCCGCGCTGTGCGGTCCACTTGGTCTTTGATCTGGCCCACCAGACTGTCCATCTCCTGAAGAGCTGCCCCGTACAGGCTCCGGCCCTGCGGGGCCACTGATGGCTGTGTCGCCGGCAGGGGCACGTGCATGTGGGCCAGGCCCACGTAGAGCAGGAAGGGTCTTCCACTGGCGCTGAAAGAGGAGAGCCAAGACGTAACTGGCAGAAGGCTCTGCCGGCCTGTCTAGGGCCTCTGGGGACCTCCCTTGCCTTGGGGAAAGTCCCCGGAACTCCTGGCCATGGACTCAGGAAGGACACGTGACCACAACCTTCCAAGGAAACAAAGAAATCAAAGGAGCTGCCTTGCCAGGCATGCACAGGGAGGGTGGCTCAAGAGTGGGCCTTCCCACCCCAGCCACCTGGAGACGCGACTCGACGGTCGGGCCAGGGTTCTCCTTGGCTCACCCGGTTCACCCCCCACCCGCGTCAGCTCTGTATCTGATCGCATCCGACAAAGCCCCTTCCATCCGCAGGTCCCTGACTGGAACGGTGCTTGCACTGAGTTCTCTTTCACAGGTGTCAAATGCAGGACACAAGTCCCAAGACGGGGCCTCTGTCTGCCCCATTGGAAACCACAGTGTCTGGGCAACATTTCTAGAGTTGTGCTGTCCGACGTAGTAGCCACGATCACGTGTGGCTATTTAACTGCAAATGAGTGAAAATCCGATCAGTTAAAATCCCAGGTGCACACATGGACAAACCTGGAGGACATACTGCTAAGTGGAATAAGCCAACCATCAACAGACAGACACTGTCTGATGTCTTGTGTGAGGTGCCTAGGGCAGTCACACTCAGAGCCAGAGGGTGGAATGCCAGGTGGCCAGGGACTGGGGAGAAAGAGCCAGGGAGCTAGCGTTCAATGGGCGTGGAGTTTTGATTAGGGGAGATTAAACAGCTCTGGAGACGGGTGGTTGGTGACGGCTGCAAAACAGTGTGAATGCACTTATTACCACAGAGCTGAACATGTGACTTCTTTAAGGTGGTAAATTTTATGATGTGCATATGTATACACCCACAATAAAACGCAAATACACACACACACACATCCATCTGTAAGTTCAATGTCTCCGTGGCCCGGGCCACATTTCAAAGGCTCAGGAGTGGGAGGCGGGGAGCAGTACCACCCTGGACAGTGCAGAGGACAGCTCATCCCTCCGGACACTTCTGTCAGGCAGCCCTGGTTTGGAGTGCTTGCCGCCCCCTCCCAGGCTGGTCATGTGCCGCTGTGTAGGTCACGCCCTGCATGGGGACATCCTGCTGAGCCAGCCCAGCACGTCCAGCTCACAACCCGCGTGCTGGGCTGGGCGCCCTGTACAGAGCAGCACCCACCCAGAAGGGCGCCTTCTTCCAGTGTGCAGGTGGGTGTCACATGGCAGTGCTTGCCAGAGCTGGTTCAAACCTCAGGCATTGTGCAAGCCGGTTAAACACGGTTGTTGCTAAAAATTAAATTATATAAATGCACAATGAAATAATTTACATTAAGAACAAAGGTAATCCATCTTCATGACTGACCACTTCCTAATCACTCAACCACATTTTACAATTATCTGTGCTCGTGAGGTTCTTGACATCTACCGTGTGTGCATGGTGGAAACACCACACAGTGGGGGCCGCCTCCCACCTCTTTTCAGCCCCACAGGTGACATCACCTTGGCAGGTTGATGGCAGCCACACGGTAAGTATTTGCAGCACAGGAAGCAGCAAGTGCTACCAATCGGGTCGTCTTCTCCGAGACCCAGGCGTTCAACACTTACCAGCTCATCATGTGAATGGGCTGGGGGTGGTCCCACTGCCCGCCCTTTGTCACCACCCTATCATCGTCCTCCAAAATCCCACCCAGTATCAAAGTCACCTTAGCACCCTAGGCCAGGGGTTCAGAGAGACGGTCATGAGAAGTGGTAGATTGGACCGAGAAGAACACAACAGGCTTGGGAGGCCACGTGCAGGTCCCGGGACTTTTTATTTCATGGTTATACAGCCCCAGGAAATAAAAAACTTAAACTCTGTCACCTATGGGAATTGGTTGCGATTATTAAGTGACCATAGTGTTTAGTAAATTGCCGTTTTTTATGAATGATTGTGAATAATATATGCGGCGGTAAGAGTGGTCACTCTCCCTGTGTCCTGAAGCCAGGCTAAAGATGGCACCCTGCTGAGCCCACAAGTCAGTCCCCTGGGGCATCTGTCCCAACACAGCCTCTTCATGACGCACCTGTGCTCTATGAAAAACAGAATGGAGCAGACTCGGTGCTTTCTTAAAAAGCTGATTATGACACAGTGTGATTTCACTCGTGTGAAAAATATACTGATTTCAATTATACCTTAATAAAACCGGAGGAAAGGCTGAAAGGACATACTCAGAACTACTCAAAGGGGCTGTCTCTGGGGTGTGGAGTCCAGGGTGATTTTGTTCTGTTGCTTATCTCTGTTTCCATAGATTTCTGAAGGGAATGCATGTTATTTGTGTGTTAAAACATGCAGAGTGGTGAGCAGAGAAGGAAGACACAAGCAAGATGCCAGAGGGAACATTCCGAGAGAGAGAGAGAGAGAGAGAGAGAGAGGACAGGCTGGGCGTGAACACCAGGAAGACTCTGACTCAGGGACAGCAGCCTGGGGAAGATCACCCAGTCTGGAACGGGAGACAGCAGGTGAGAGGCACCCGCCTCTCAGAAGGTCCCCAGAGGGCCCAACCGGAGGGAGGCCGGCCTGAGGTGGCGGAGGTCTTCCCACAAGCAGGGAGGGGCAGGCCCCTCAGCTTTCGGCCCTCTGGCCTCGCTGGCAGGGGCTCCCTGGGCACCTTGGACAAAGGATCCCTCTGGATCGGACGGCTGCAGGAGCCACCTGCCACCCCCCACGTTGTGTCTTCTTCCTCTAGACCCTGACGTTACACACCGCCCTTCTAGAACCCAGACTTGACCCAACAGCCCCTTGTTAGAAAGCTTCTGGGGGCCCCCCCAGCCCGAGGGGTCAGTCCAAACTCCTCACCCAGCCCTGGGTCCCCTCCTCCCCCCTTGGGATCTCTTCCTGCAGGCCACATCCCCAGAGCCTTGCCCGCCTCCTGAGCCGCACCCAGGCGTGTCCTCTCCTGGCAGTGCCTTCCCCGGTCCCCTTCGTAAAACACTTGACTCTTCAGAAGCTGCCAACACTCCTTCCACTTTGCTCCCAGGTCATGGCTGGCTTCCTTCTCTCCGCCCCTGCTCCAGTCATTTTCTTCCTCTCTTACGGTTTTGAGAAGAAATCAACAAGCTGCATCGAGGCCAGGTTTTTACAGATCCGGTTCCCCACCAGCCTGGGAGTCACTCAAAAGTAAGAATGCGTCCAATTCACAGTTGTGTCCCAAGCACAACTGGCACGCCACTGGGGCTGGATGAAGCAACTCACTCATTCATTCATTTCGTCAATATTTATTTATTTATTTTGAGTCAGGATCTCGCTCTGTCACCCCGGCTGAAGCATAGTGGCACAATCACGGCTCACTGCAGCCTTGACCTCCTGGGTTTGGGCAATCCTTTCGCCTCAGCCTCCTGAGTAGCTGGGACTACGGGTGCATACCACGACAGCCAGATAATTAATTATTATTATTACTTTTTGTAGAGGCAAGGTCTCACTATGTTGCCCAGGCTGGTCTCAAACTCCTGGGTTTAAATCCTCTCGCCTCATTCTCCCATAGTGCTGGGATCACAGGCATGAGCCACTGCATGGGGCCATTAATAAATATTTGGTATGCTCTGACCAGGTCCCCAGGCACAAGAGATATGATTTTCACCCTCCTGGAGCTGAACCTCTAACTGGGAACAGAAGAGATAAAAATCAACTAAAAAAACAAATGAGATGATTATTTACCAATGTAGTACAGGTTGGTTATCCCAAATCTGAAAACCCAGAATCCAAAAATACTCCCAAATCCGAAACTTGTTGAGCACTGACATGACACTCCAAGATTTTCAGATCTGAAATGCTCAACTGTGAGTATAATGCAAATATTTCACAATCTGAAAATATCCAAAATCTGAAACACTTCTGGTCCCAAGTGTTTAGGAACGCTCAACCTGCGGGAGGGAGAAAGGAGAAATTCAAGGTGCCATAAAGGGTATAGAGGGGGTCCAAGCAGGTTCGGGGTGAGGAGGGGAGGGCAGAGATCCGAGAAAGTAAGGCCTAGGAGATGCGACTCCAGGACCCGGTTCTGAATGATAAATGCACCACATCTTAGTCTGCTCGCTGCTGTGACAAAAAGGCCGTCGCCTGGTGGCTTAAACAACAAACCTTTGTTTCTCGCAGTGCTGAAGGGTGGGCAGCCCAGTGCCTGGCGAGGGCCAGGTTCTGGGCCTGTGGACAGCCGCCTTCTCACTGTCCCCTCCCAGCCGAGAGAGAGAGCCCGAGTTTCCTCCTCTTCTCATGAGGACAACAGTCTCATCGTGGGGCTCCACCCCGTGACCTCCTCTCACCTCAACACGATGACCTCCTGAAGGCCCCACCTCCTACTGCCGTCCCGTTAGGAGTTAGGGTTTCCACCTATTAATGTGGGGGGACACAGACATGCGGTCCACACACCGTGGGACGGTGGCCAGATACTGGATCTCCCAGAGGCTCTGATTTCAAACATCCTAGGCACTGCTCCTCCCTACACCCAAGACACTCGTGCTTGTCACACCTGTATTCCCTATTTAGGGCCAATGCACAGTCCCAGGCGGGACCAGGAGCCCAAGCCATCCACTCCCCCCTCATTTCTTCTTTTCTTTAGAGATAGGATCCTACTGTCACCCAGGCTGAAGTGCCATAGCAGGATCATGGCTCACTTTGGCCTCAAACTCCTGGGCTCAAAAGATCCTCCTGCCTCAGCTTCCTGAGAAGCTGGGATTACAGGTGTGTGCCACCACATTCAGCTAGATTTTTAGTTTTTGGTAGAGACAGGGTCTTGCTATGTGGCCCAGGCTCACCTTCAACTCTTGGTCTCGGCCCTCAAAGTGCTGGAACTACAAACATGGGCCATACCACGCCAGGCCTACTCTCTCCCAATGCCTTTTTTTCCTCTTCAGCGCTTTGCCCGCTGCTTACAAAACCCAAATCAAGGAGAAACTGTGAGCACTGCTGCTAGATTAAGGGTCTAAACTCAAGTAAAGAGGCAAGAAAAAGTTTCCAAAGAAGTCCTAGGGTGGGCCCCTTGCCAAAGAACAGGAAGCCAGACTCTAGGTGGGACACCTGGTTATTTATCCTTTTGCCTCAGCCTCCTGAGTAGCTGGGACTACAGGTCCCATATCACGACAGCCAGATAATTAATTATTATTATTGTTTTTTGTAGCTGTCCGAGTGGGGGGTGGTGCTTGAAAGGGGGCGGGGTCACGGGGGAGGAAGGAGCAGGGACAGGAGTGGGGGACCCTTTTCTGCTGGTGCTCAGAAAACCACGGGTGAGTTGGCACGTCAACTCCCAAAGGAACCAGCATGCCTGGGGATCACCTCCTGTGAAATTAACCAACAGGACTCGTGTGACTTTCCACTTACATAACTAATAATTAATAAGTCAGCCAACTCTTCACCTTTCTCGTGTGATAGGGAGACTGTGGGTTCATTGTCTTTTACCTGAGGCATTAACTGGTGCTGACCCGCCCCACACGCCTGTCAGAGCAGGCACTCGACAGTCCCAGTCCCCAGTCCGTGGCCTCCCCTCCCTCTCAGGACACCACGTGGTTTGGGCCACTGGGAAAGCAGGAGGAACTGTTCCCCCCAGCCGTGAAACATCCACCTGCCACGAGGCACAGGGGCTGGAGACCATCCCAGAGCTCCAGCTTCTCCCAGCCCTCGAGGCAGGATGAGAGGCTTTGCCCTTCCCATATCAGCCAGATGCAATAAAACAACGTTTCTCAGAGAGTCCAGACAAGCCCCTAAGACGCAAGCTCCAAAGCCCCGAGGAGCTACCTTTGAGAGAAAGGCCTTACAGAGGTTTCATTACCAAGCACGCATAACTGGCTCTCCCACATTGCCGCCTCTGCCCTCCCTTCTCTCTAGAAAAGTCCAACGCAGCTGAGCAGGGGGTGTGGGGCTACATCTTGTACACTGGAGGGGCTAGTGTGACCACGCATGCGCAGGCAGGGTCTGTGGCTCACTCCTCCCCTGTGGACAGCCATGCGGCACCCTTTCCCTGGCCCGCTTGGGCTAAGGCTGTGGGAAACATCGAAAGACTAACTGGAAACTTGAGGAGTTTACAGTCCTGGCCGAAAGATCATAGGAACACGTGTGGGTCATGAGAGGACAGCATGAGCGGTGACGAAGAGACAGGACGAGCCCTGATGGGGGAGGGTGGTGCGTGCTTGCACCTCACCCTGGATGGTTGTGCACAGTCTGGGAGTTGTCCATGGGTCCACCATGTCCACTCTTTGCCCTGACACCTGACGCAGGTGTGATTCGTTGGAGACACACGATGAGATGTGTTGATGTTGTTATTTTTAATTCGCGGTTTTTCACATTTCTAGGTCAAGAGATCTCAAGTAAAAGCCAGCTATCCTGCCTCTCCCGTGAAATGGAAAGACCTGACACGCCAGCTCTCCTGGAGCTGAGCAGCCGCCACCCCCTTGAGACGGGCACTGGCCGGCGAGTTCACCGCAGGCCCCGCCGCTTCCTAACGTCTTCCAGTCAGCCCGCTTCTCTCCTTAAGGTGACCGATCAGGGCCCTGCAGATGCTGGGGTTTGTAACCCCTGTGTGGCAGACTGAGCTGTAACTCCCAAAGACACCCAGACTCGAATTCCTGGAATCTGTGGATACCACCGCCTACGGCAAACGTAACCTTGCAGATGAAATTATGTTAAGGACCCTGAGACAGGTAGATTATCTCGAATTCTCCTGGTGGACTTTTTTTTTTTTTTTTGAGTTGGAGTCTCACTCCGTCGCCTAGGCTGAAGTGCAGTGGCACATTCACGGTCACCCCAGCGTCGACCTGTTGGGCTCCAGCGATCCTTCCGCCTCAGCCATCCAAGTAGCCAGAACTACAGGCATGCACTACCACACCCGGCTGATTTTTTTGATTTATTGTAGAGATGAGGTCTCGCTGCCCAGGCGGGTCTCGAACCCGCGGGCTCAGGCGATCCACTCACCTCGGCCTCCCAAAGGCGCAGGATTACAGGCTAAGCCACCGAGCCCAGCTGATTTATTGTATTTTTATTTTTATTTTTATTTTTAAGTTGGAGTCTCACTCTGTCACCCAGACCGGAGTGCAGTGGCCGCTCCCGGCCACCATAGCCTTCACCTACTGGGCTCCGGTGAACCTTCCGCCTCAGCCTTCTGAGTAGCCGGAATTACAGGTGCACGCTACCACGCCCGGCTGATTTTTGATTTATTGTAGAGATGAGGTCTTGCTGCCCAGGCGGGTCTCAAACCCGCGGGCTCAGGCAATCCACTCACCTCAGCCTCCCAAAGGCGCGGGATTACAGGCTGAGCCACCGAGCCCGGCTTCCTGGTGGACCTTAAATGCAGTCATAAATGTGCTTACAAGAGAAACCAGAGGGAGATTTGACTTCAGAAGAGGAAGCGGCAGGGGAACAGGAGTAAAGATGCGAATGCTGTGGCCATGGCCTAGAAACGCCAGAGCCACCAGAAGCTGGAAGAAGCCAGGAACAGACTGATTCTCCTCTGGAGAAGGTAGCAGCCCAGCTGACCCTCGATTTTAGCCCCCTGAGACTCATTTTAGACATCTGGCCTCCAGACCTGCGGGAGAATGCTGCCGCTGTTTCAGCCACAAAATGGCCTGTTGTTACAGCAGCAGTAGGAAGTGAATACACCCTGCCAACTAATGCATTCAACAGATGCGTCGAGTGCCCAGAATATGGTGGGTAGGCTCTATCCTCAGGGCGCGTCTATCCTGGTGGGAGAGGCCCACATGACTGCGACAGTGGAGGGGTCATGCCCTACCTAGGGGAAGCCCCAGGGGTTGGGGGAACACACCTGGGGAGTGTTGAACTCTGGCGTGGAGATTCCAGAGGGGGCTGCTTTCCAGTCTTATTTGCAGGAGACATACACGCATCCATCTGTGCTGGGCAGCTAAACCCTGCAGTGGCCTTGAGAGTGTGAGGCCAATGCACACGGTGTGTGCCTGGGCAGGGTTGGGGCCCTGGGGGGGGCCTCTCTACCTGGCGTGCTGGATGAACTGGGTGGCCTTCTCAGCGTACTGCTGCGCCAGGCGGCTCAGGTCCACTGGCTGCTCCACGATGTCGAGGTTTTCATAGAGAGGGAGCGCCACGTCCGTGTAACAGTCTCTCTCAAGGTTCCTGTGTGGAAAACAAAGACAGCAGAGTGTTCGTTTCTTGAGTTGTCACGGAGCAGAACAAAATGGGTAATGCAGACTCACACAAAAGGCAGCATGTAACAACACTCAGGACCCACAGGAATGCAGCCGGTCATTCCCTCCAGCTGTAAAATCTACTTAGAAGCCGGGCTCGGTGGCTCAGCCTGTAATCCCGTGCCTTGGGAGGCTGAGGTGAGTGGATTGCCTGAGCCCGCGGGTTTGAGACCCGCCTGGGCAACTTAGCAAGACCTCATCTCTACAATGAATCAAAAAACTAGCCGGGCGTGGTAGTGCGCACCTGCAGTTCCAGCTACTGGGAAGGCTGAGGCAGAAGGATCGCCAGAGCCCAGCGGCTCGAGGCTGCAGTGGCTGGGAGCAGCCACTGCACTCCAGTCTGGGCGACAGAGTGAGACTCCGACTCAAAAAAAAAAAAAAACTACTTAGAACACCTTCTTCCATTCCCTTTGAATAGATGGGGTTTTTTTGTTTGTTTGTTTGCTTGTTTGCTTCTTGTGGCTGTTTTAGAGACAGGGTCTCACTTTGTCACCCAGGCTGGAAGGCAATGGTGCATCATAGCTCACTGCAGCCTCCAGCTTCTGGGCTTAAGTGATCCTCCCTCCTCAGCCTCTTGAGTAGCTGGGACTGAAGGCGTGTGCCACCATACCCAGCTAATTTTCTTTTTATTTTTTGTGCAGACAAGGTCTCGCTATGTTGCCCAGGCTGGTCTCAAACTCCTGGCCTCAAGTGACACTCCCGCCCCGGCCCCCAAAGCACTAGGATTACAGGCATAAGCCACCATGCCCAGCCCCTTTGACTTTTCTCGTGTTCCTTGGACAAGCCAGTCACTCTGCAACACTCACAAAGACTCTTGTGAGCTAAGGACACTATTTTCCAGGGAGAGAAAGTGAGGTCCAAACAGGCTAAATCATTTTAAGCCGAGTCCCACAGCCCATCAGCAGGCCTATTGCTGGTTTCCTTAATGTCCGACCTAAATAAATCTCGGCCTCTTGTGTGGTGTGCAACATGACATTCTCCTAAGTCAACAGCTGGGACTTCATGTCACACCCCATCTGACAATAGGACAGAACGCATAAGATGACCTGGGATAATTTTAAGAGGCTGAAGATTCATTTATTCTGAAGAGAACTCAGAGCATACAAGTTTGATTTTAAACCACGTGTGGAGAATCTGAAGCAACCTTAGCAGCTGGGAAAAATGGAAGTCAAGTCAATAACATCTCCTGGAAAAAAACAAGCTCAGTCTCTGGTCTTACGGATCAAGAGGAATCTGACAGAGGGCTTGCCCTGTCTACAGGGGGCCGAGTAATCACTCTGGTCACCACCTTGGGCAAGTTTCCCGACTCCCAGAGCTCGAGCTTCCTCATCAGTGTCACAGGTCACCCATGCCATCTCACAGGGCAACTGGAGGACTCAGGAGATGGCCAGTGTTAGGGCACTGCATACTACTCAGTGTACTGGGAGGCAGTGAAAACCCAAGCTCGAAGCCGAGAGCAACGGAGAGAAGAGGGTAGTGACCAGAGGCCGCGCAGGCAGGTGAATTATCCTAACAGTGCAGGGCAGGATGAGTGAGGAACTCAGAACAGCCCACCCCACCTCCGGGCACAAGCACGCCCTTACCGGAGCCTCAGATAAGCTCAGATTGGGTAGGTAGTTGTCAAGGACCACGGCGTTTTAAAGAGGGTTTTCACCGTGCTGGGCATTGTGATGCGAACCCCATCAGTGCTTCGTGTTATGCTGTTGCAACTCTGAGTCATTTATATTCTCTCTTCTCCCCGACAAGTGACCCATTATTCTTCTATTTGATTTCAGCGTAAACTGAAAAGGAGACTGGCTGACGCATGTATACCTCGATATGGCCAGGTGTGATTACAGACATGACCGCCAGGCAGGGGTAAGATGCTCTGTAGCCTCACTCCTCAAGCTGTAATGTGAACCGGAATCACCTGGGCATTTTTTTTTCCTTAGTGACAGGGTCTTGCTCTGTTGCCCACGCTGGAGTGCAGTGGTGCTAACGTAGCTAACTGTAACCTCGAATTCCCAGGTTCAAGCCATCTTCCCGCCTCAGCTTCCAAAGTAGCTGGGACTACAGGCGTGAGCCAACACACTTGGCTCTAGGTGTCCTGTTAAAATGCAGACCTAGCCGGGCTCGGTGGCTCAGCCTGTCATCCCGCACTTTGGGAGGCTGAGGTGAGTGGATTGCCTGAGCCCGCGGGTTCGAGACCCACTTGGGCAACTTGGCGAGACCTCATCTCTACAAAAAATCAAAAAATTAGCCGGGCATGGTAGCGCGCGCCTGTAGTTCCAGCTACTTGGAAGGCTGAGGCGGAAGGATCGCTGGAGCCCAACAGGGCGAGGCTGCGGTGGCCGGGAGCAGCCACTGCACTCCAGTCTGGGCGACAGAGTGAGACTCCGACTCAAAAAAAAAAAAATGCAGACCTGAGGGTTGCGTCTGAATTTCCGCATTTCTAACAAGTGCCCTGGTGATATCCATGATTCCGATGCAATGACCACACTTTGAGTTGCAAAGCTATGAAGCACATGGCTCTGGACTCGAGACCCAGATGGAATCTCTATTCCCACCTCTCAGCCGCTCCGAGGTAACCTGACAAGGTAAGCTTCCTTGTCTGTAAGATCACACGGCGGTCATGTGGATTCCAGCTAACAGAGAGAGAGCTTAGAGTAGAACGGTTTCTCAATAAACAGTCATGATTATATCAGCTGTTGTGTCAAAAAAGGAGCCAGCTGAGACTCACCTTTCCCCAGCAGCTCTGACACCTTGGGAAAAAACCCCAGTGCACTGTCTGGACAAACAGAACACGTGGTGTGTGCTGCTCCGTCACCTGAGTGTGGCTCCTCATTCTTTTGTGATCGCAAATTTACTGCATGCTCATTGCAGAATGTTTGGGAAATACAGTGAGAAAGAGGAAAGCAAAAACCCATCGTCCCATGCCCAGAGGGGGCCTTTGATAACACTGCAGCGTCTCCAGGAGTCTCTCCTGGCCGGACTGCAAAGAGCCGCACACAGAGGTCATCAGACTCGCCCTGTTGGGGACGTCCTTCCACTCTTTTCCACTTACTGTGAGACCATGAGCATTTTCCCACCTCGTTGGCTATGTTTCAAAAGCATCCCGTTGGGTGCCTGCTGGGCACTGCAGTGTCAGGACCTGGCTTGCTGGTCCACAGGGGAAGAAACTCAAAGGGGTCCCGGGTTCCCTCCCCTCTCCTCTCCTTTCTCTCTCTCTCTCTCTGTCTCTCTCTCTCTCTCTCTCTCTCTCTCTCTCTCTGTCTCTCTCTCTCTGTCTGTCTCTCTCTCTCTGTCTCTCTGTCTCTCTCTCTGTCTCTCTGTCTCTCTCTCTCTGTCTCTCTGTCTCTGTCTCTCTCTCGCTGTCTCTGTCTCTCTCTCTCTCTCTCTCTCTCTCTCTCTCTGTCTCTCTCTCTCACTCATGTGTCTTGCCCTGCTTTATACCCAGTGTCAGGCAGGGAGGGTAGGCCCCACCTGTGTGAGGCCTTGTCATCCAAGGCTATCCCCAGTTGGGCTAAACAGCCTCCAGGAACCTGGAAAATTCTAATAGAAGAATTCTGCGGACCTCAACTTGCTGAGAGTTTTCTTGCATTCCATGCAAGTAATGCGTTTAAGCCTAGGCAGCATAGCGAGAACTTGTTGCTATAAAAAAATCAAATAATTAGCTGGGCATGGTGGCTCACTCCTATAATCCCAGCACTCTGGGGGGCTAAGGTGGGAGGATTGTTTAAACCCAGGAATTTGAGACCATCCTAGGCAACATAGCAAGACCTTGTCTCTACAAAAAATTTAAAAATTAGCAGAGCGCAGTGGCTCATGCCTATAATCCCAGAACTTTGAGAGGACAAGGTAAGAGGATGGCCCGAGCCCACAGGTTCGAGACCAGCCTGGGAAACTTGGCAAGACCTCATCTCTACAATAAATCAAAAAATTAGCCGGGCATGGTGGTGGGTACCTGTAGTTCCAGCTACTTGGAAGGCTGAGGCGGAAGGATCGCCGGAGCCCAGCAGGTCGAGAGTGTGGTGGCCATGAGTGCGCCACTGCACTCCAGCCTGGGTGACAGAATGAGACTCCAAAAAAAAAAAATAGCTGGGCATGGTGATGCCAACCTGTAGTCCCAGTTACTCAGGAGGCTGAGACAGAAGGATCACCTGAGCCCAGGAGGTCAAAGCTACAGTGAGTGGTGATTGTGCCACTGTACTCTAGCCTGGGCGACAGAGTGAGACCCCTGACTAAAAAAAATGCATTTAAATTTGCACTAGATGTACACTCTCTTATTTGCTGTCTGCATCTCTCATTCACTCTTGATAGACCACAGCTTTGGGAATTTGCCTTGTCCTGGGGCCCACAGCAAACACGCTGGACACCGTTACCTGGATGGACCACCGCCCCGAGGACATGCCGGACAAGGAGGGTGGTTGTAGCCTGGGGTGTCGGAACAGCCCATATCATGGCTGTATGGGATTCCAAAGTAGTAATCAAAACCTGGAACAGAAACAACTGTTATCTCACACAGGCTACGGCCCATGTGCCGCTTCCTCACCCCCATGATGAAAGTTTAATTTTCCATGATTTAATACTGCAGTGCCATGGAGCACATAATTAAAAGAGGATTTGAATAATATCCCTTTGTAGTATGCATAGAAAATCACTTTGCTGGGCTCTGATGGCAAGACTTGATTTGCAAAACATCTTATGACTAGAATTAACCCAGATTAGGAGGAGGTAGAGAGCATTATTGAACACCTAACGTCCTCAGTGAAATTATGGACATATTCAGTAAGTCTGGCGAAAACCTACTACATGCATGATGCTTTAAGGGATAGAAGGATAAATCCTGCCCTCAAGAGATGTCCCATCTGAAGGGAAGGTAAGAGCTATGGATTAAGTTACTAGACATGGATGGGCGAGGCTGGAGGGAGAGCTGAGAGAGAAGCTGCCCCAGACAAAGGGGGTGGGTGGGCTTGGGGTCAGAATCTCCAAATGCTTCTTGAAAGAGCCGGCATCCCAGGCCAGCAGGGACTCTGAAGGCTGGCGGGGCTTGGGCTTGGGGTGGCGGAGTGGAGCGGAGGGAGCGAGGGATGCTGAGATCAAACAACTTATGCTGAAGCTTCTTCTGAGACCCTCCTTCATCCTGTCTCTTCTCCATCCAAGCTTTTATCCAAGGCTATAGCAGGCCAGGCGCAGCGGCTCACGCCTGTAATCCCAGTATACTTCAGGAGGCCGAGGCAGGAGGACTGGCTGAGCCCAGGAGTTCAAGAGCAGTCTGGGCAACATGGCGAGACCCCCTCCCTACAATAAATGAAAAAAATTAGCCAGGCACGGTGGTGCACACCTGTAGTCCCAGCTACTCGGGAGGCTGAGGCAGAAGGATTGCCTGAGCCCTGGGGGCTGTGGTGAGCCGTGAGCGTGCCACTACACTCCAGCCTGGGTGACTGAGGGAGACCCTGACTCAAAAACAAACAAAAACAGAAGCTTATAGCGACCGATGCAACTAGAATGCACAGATTCTCCAGAAAAGGAGAACCTCCCCAATCTCATGGCGAATGCTCAGTTCTGATTCCTTAGAAGTAGACAGACTCGAATCTCCCAAAGAACTGCTTATCAACGGCCTCGGGTTCCAGAGAACAGGGAGAGCTGCCATCAACTTTCTCACCGCCCCTCCAAATGCGCCGTGGCCCCTCCAGGAGCACACTTCCCAAGCTGACCAAGCTCCTGCCAGGTCCCCGAGAGCTCGCACCCTACCCTCCGTGGCTTTGCCTGGAATCCTCGGCTCTGTGTCTCTTGCAGGTGAAGCTGCGTGGGTGCCTCCCAGCCCAGTGCGAGCATGAGGCTTCCGGCAGGATGTCCCCACTCCCCACCACATCCCGCCGGCACGACCCACATTGCACTCACACTCCTGTGCATGGCTGCAGACTTCCATCATCAAGAGTGATGCAGGTCCTCCCTGTGAGTGGTGGGAATGTCTTTGATTGGGAATTAGATCTCTGTCAACCCAATATGTGCTGTCTGTAGAATGGCTAATAAATGTTTGTTGTGGCCAGGCTCGGTGGCTCAGCCTGTCATCCCTGCACTTTGGGAGGCTGAGACGAGTGGATTGCCCGAGCCCGCGGGTTCAAGACCAGCCCAGGCAACCTGGCGAGCCCTCGTCTCTACAATAAGTCAAAAATTAGCTGGGCGTGGTAGCACATGCCTGTAGTTCCAGCTCCATGGAAGGCTGAGGTGAAAGGATCGCTGGAGCCCAGCAGGTCAAGGCTGGAGTGGCCGTGAGCAGCCACTGCACTCCAGCCTGGGCAACGGAGTGAGACTCCTACTCAAAAAAGAAACAAATATTTGTCGCACTGAAAAAAATGTGTGATGCCTCCATGTGGCACCTCCATGGTACAGAGTGGTACACCCCTCAGGTAAAGAGCATCACTCTGAAATTTGACTGTATTTGGTGTCAGGATGAGTCTCGATCAGGGATGGAACCTTCCCAGTCGAGGGCCAGACAGTAAATATGTTAGGTTTTGTGGGCCTGATGGTCTCTGTGGAGGCTGCTCAAGCCTGCATTGCAGCACAAAAACACCCAGAGACACGACGGATACAGACCAGCGTGTCTGTTATCTACTAAAACTTTCATGACAAAAGTATCATTCTGGATTTGACCCACAGCTCTATACCAAGCCCTGGTCTAGATCCCAGGTGTCCTCAGGTCCCAGGGCCAGAAAGCAGTCTTGTGTCTTGGGAGCCCTGATCAGCAGCAGGAGTCTGGATGCAGAGGAGGAATGTGTGGGTGTACTTGGCGTGACCCGGGTTGTGTGGGAAGGTGCGGCCCGGAGGCCGATGGAGAGCCAGGACAGGGCGCCACAGAGGGTACAAGAGGCAGGAGGAAGCAGGTGTGGCCTCGAGATGATTGTCAGGAAACCTCAGAGTGGCCACGCTTGCGGGGACTGCTGGTGCAGGGACGGCAGGTGCACAGGGGGTGCTCTCTTTTCCCACGCCAACGGCAGATGCTGCAGATCCACCACTTCCTGCCACCCAGGACCCAGCACAGACTCTCGGAATATGCACTTAAGGTGCCAACACCCTATTCTGGTCCAAGGCGTCAACTGTCAAGTGAGCAAACTGAAGACCAGGAGGGAGTAAGTTCTGGAGTAATTTGTGATTAGCTGAAAAGCCAGGGCTTCCCTTCCCCCGTCTGCCAGTTTTTAAGAAGCACACATGGGCCAGGCGCAATGGCTCAAGCCTCTAATCCCAGCTCTTTGGGAGGCCAAGCCAAGAGGATTGCCTGAGCTCAGGGGTTCGAGACCAGCCTGGGCAACTTGGTGAGATCTCGTCTCTACAATGAATCAAAAACTTAGCCAGGCGTGGGGGTGCCCCCCTGCAGTTCTTAGCTCCTTGGAAGGATCGCCGGAGCCCAGCAGGTCGAGGCTGCAGTGGCCATGAGCGTGCCACTGCACTCTAGCCTGGGTGACAGAGTGAGACTCCACCTCAAAAAAAACAAATAAATAATATAAAATGAAAAGTATACATGGAAAACGTCAGGAAGGCCCAACCAGGAAACGGGGCCCAAGGGAGGAGGGGGGAGGAAGGAGCACGAAAGGAGGGTAGGAGGTGAAGAAAACGGACGGGGGTCACGGGCCCCGGGGCCCTGCTGAAGGCCAGCTCCAGGCCAACTCTCCAAAGCCATCCTCCGAGTGCAGACCTCCCGATGCACCCCG